GAGAGGACCACATGGCTTGAGTCCTGAACAGAAAAGGTGATCGCATGCTTCAATGTTGGTAGAGAAAAAAGAAGGAAAGACTGAGATGCTGAGTCCCTGGTTTTATGCCCTCTCTGGCCTTTGATCTTGAGCTTGTATTCTGATTGGTTGTAAGACTCCCATGGGGCCATGCAGGGACAACTTCTAGGCTGCGTTTTGAATCTAGGTTTGGTTGAGTTCTCAGATGCCATGTCGTCAGTTGAGTAAAGGGTCAATATTATCATGCCTTAATCCCATCACTCTGAAGCTGAAGGGGAGAACTCTTTATTATATAAAGGGACTGGCTTGGCCTTCTTAATGGCTCATTGTCAAAGTGCGGGATGGGCAGGAAGCTACAGGCAGCTATTCCGTCTCTTAAAACATGTTCCTTTCTTTTTACATCCAGAGAAATATTCTGCCTTTTCAATATTTCCTAGGATATTTCATTTTTCTAGGAGAGGGCTGGGTGATAACTTCCTACAGCTTTTCAAAACAAGGCAAAGATCCATAAATGTTAACCTTTCTGATTGTGTATCAAGAATATCGTCAAGAAATTAAGGCATGATGCTGTGGGAAGCCCCAACCCACCCGCAGAAGAATGAATTTTTTTGGTGAAATATTAAAAAAGGCAGAATATTATATTTCCCCAAAGGGAGAAATGGAGAAACATGCTCTTAAAGGCAGAAAGCAGCCCCCAGTTTTAATAGCCCATAGCAGATGCCAGCACTTAAGGAGATATAGGAAGTTAGCACCCACTTCTGCTAGAAAATGAAATATTTTAGGAAATATTAAAAGGGCAGAATATTTCCCCCTAAAAGGGAGGCAGAAACTCATTCCCCCCACTTTGTTAATGAGGAGCCAGAGAAACATGTTTTTAGGCAGGAAACAGACTCACTCTTAATAGCTCTCCCCACCTTTGTCAATGGGCCATTAAAAGGCTGAGCCAGTCTATTCTACATAACAAAGATCTACCTCCTTCAGGCAGACCCATCTGCAACAGAAACTCACCACATCGCATCTGGGAACTCAACCAAGCTTGGGACTCAAAAAACACACAACCAACAGAAGTTAGGTAAGACATTCCCCCTCACCCTAGGAGTCTGACAACCAATCAGAATACATTTCTTATACAGGAACAGGAAACGAGGTGGGATCGAACAGAGTATAAAAAACTCAAGAACTCTCAACAAGCCTTCCCCCCCCTTTTCTTCTTCACCCAACATCTGGAAGCATGAGATCCCTCTTTTCTGTTCAGGAGCTCAAGCCATGTGGTCCTGTCCACCATTAAACCATCTTTCCAAGCAGCCCCCATGTTTCCAGTGTCTTTTCCCCCACTTGGAATTGAACTCAGAAGGACATTTCTTCCAGCGGAGATAAAGAGCTTATTGAAAGAGGAAGACAACTATCTAGATCAGGGGTGTCAAACTCACAGCCCTGGGATTGGATGTATCACATGTTGGCCCTGGCCCTGCCCAATTTAGCGAAGGGGGAAAAGTCCCAATACATCTGGTGACGTCACCTTGACGACACGAGTTTGCACACCTGATCTAGATGGTTCAATTGTGGCCATATGTTGAGGACTACCTGTATTTAAGGTCTTGGGGGTACAATTTGCGTGTGTATTAAATGTACTTTATTTCCCAAAATTACATTTAAATCCAGTTCTCAGATGCGAAGAATTAAAGTCACTCAGAAAACAGTGATTTTGTGTTCTGCAACTCAATGGGAGCAGATTGAGGAGTCAACTCTAGCACCCCATTTATTCTGCTTTTCACGATCTGTTTTGTTTACCGCATTAATTTTCACCTCCGAAGAAGTGGATTGGTCAAGAACAGGTAGCCCTCACCTTATGACCAGTTGCTTAGTGACGGTTTGGAATTATGACAGATGATAATGGGCATAATGAGTTCATTTAATCACCACTGCAAAAAAGTTCATAAAATCGAGTGCAGTCATGCCACTCCCTGATTTACAACCGTAATCACAGGCTTAATTATGGCTGCAAATCGAGGACTGTTTATAGCCAGCAATAATCCACAAGCAATTCTAATATGTGGCAAGTGCCTATCTTCGTTACACATCTGTAAGGGGCTGATATGAGATACGGTCAAAAAAGTCAAAATGACAACCACAATAATATGATTGAAATACTGCCTGTTTTAAAATGTGTTAACTGGCCATATTCAGATAGAATAAACCTAAATTATTCCAGATGCCCTTGTATAAAGTATAATGGTGTACTTTCTTGTTTTACATATGTCATTCATTCAAGTAGTAGATGAAGAAACTAGAAATAATTTAAAATTGTGATAAACATTTCACTTTGGTTTGTGGTATCTAAATTAATTCTATTCATAATCCCAGCTTCTGCTTAAAAAAGAGGAATCCAGGTTCAGATAGAATTCTAAGCAAGCCATCCCTAGTTTATCTGGAACAAAACAAGAATAAATAGTTTGCTTACACCCATACATCACTCAGTCTAAATAAATCAGGAATCGGGGCTAAGCAAATTCTAAGCAAACATAGGCACACGATTCATTATTATTTTCCTGTTAGACAACCTGCGACACTATGGTTGTCTAAAAGAAAAATAATAATGATATTGTTATTTTTCAGAGATATTTCTTGACGAGATCTCTCAATGGCACAGCTTCTAATGTACTTTAAAAATTCTTTAAAAATCCAGGGAGACCTTCAGAGATGCATCTGCCTTGAAAGTAGACTGTATTGCATTATACAGCAGTCAAATATTAACAGAGGAAAAGTTTTATGACGTTTTGCATTATGGCCTAAACTTCTATGATCATTTTTATGTCATGAAATATTTAATAACATTTCCAATTTTCAAACCCAGAGGAGTCATTTTGGCTGCATCTTGCAAGTTAGCCCATTTGAGGTACCTTGGTTAAAAAAATTGTTGCCCTACGAGGTACCATTTTACCCAGTTTAAAGTTACGGGAATTTTTAGTGGTTAGCATCACCCCATTTGTTCATTCCTGATTCACTTTCCTGCCACGTGCTCACCTGTGTTTGAACTCTCTCTTGCACAGAAACACAACACCGTAGCTTCACAACAAAATTTATTACGACCGCATTAAAGCGCAATTGTGCATGAAGAATGAGAAGCAGTCAACAGCTGCAGGTTTTGTTAGCTTTTTATGTGCTAAATATGTCAGGGGGAGAAGTAGTTTAATTGGTGAGAAAATGCAATTACGGTTCCACTTCTAGGCAAGCACAAATGTGCACACACAAAATGTGGAAGAGTGGCCACCGCATAGCCTTTAAATCTAGATAAATCAGGATAACACCAACTCCCTAGGCTGCATAAACAGAGGGATAGAATCAAGATCATGTGAAGTGTTAATACCACTTTATAATCCCTTGGTAAGGCCACACTTGGAATACTTCATCCAGTTTTGGTTGCCATGATGTAGAAAAGATGTAGAGACTCTAGAAAGAGTGCAGAGAAGAGCAACCAAGATGATTAGGGGACTAAAACATATGAAGAAC